TGACTTCTTCGTCGACAACCAAACACTTTCTCCCAGTGAATACTTTCGGCTCTAAAAAGCTGTTGTTTTCCCTTGAGTTCCTCAGGAATTCTTGAAATTGTCGATCTAACTGACACCGGTCATACAGGCGCATTTTTGCACTACTTCCTCCTTACTTTTTATTTCGGGCGGATATTGTATTTTTCAAGAATTATAAACATTCATTTCTATTGTCGGGACGGTGATAGGTCTAAATATTTATATTAACTTCAAGGCAATATGATGCCTCTTTTGATGTCGTTTGTGACAAGTTACTATTTTAATGGCTCGTTAGCGGCGTCTTCAAGTGGCATAGCGGGTATAAATATTTATACATGGATGTCCAAAGGCAAAAAGGTTTTTTGTTTACGGCAAAAAAAGGAATATCACACAGCTGCGGTAGCTATGACATAAAAGAAAGTTTGAAAAACTTCTTAACGAGCATATATTTATCAATGTGACAATGTTGATAGGTGAGCTTTCAAACTGTGCTTGATTGAAAAAGTATGATTTTCACACAAAATAACAATTCGAACAATCAAAATAACAATTCGACTATGTGTGTTCGTGTTGTCTTTCAAAAAGTTACAACAAAAAAAAAATGGAAAATAAAACAGGTGAAATGTACTTTCAATATTTATTTATCATTTGATTGATGTCAAACTTCCACAGAGACCAATATATATTCAATTAAAAATATCTTCTCCTCAAGGTACCATAACAACATCTATTTCTTCTGCCTCTCTGCAAGACCTCGGTGAATTTTCCAACAATTTGCAAACTACCCCATGTAGATCATATAAGGATTGGTCCTGAAGTGACTCGTCAAAATGATCATTGAAAACGATAGTAGGAATGAATGTTATCTTCGGGCTAACATTTCCAGTTCTCACTCCATTCTGAGCAAGAAGTTTGTCGGCCTGTCCACTGTTGAAGCACTTCTGCAGCGACGTCCAAGATACACCAGATTTCCTGCTACACTGAAAGTGAAATGGAGTTTTTTCAATGAGGCAAAATATAATTTTTTTGAGATGAAAATAATTCAGCATACATTGAGCCTTCCTGATATGATTTGAAGGTGAGGTTGTCAAAATTTTTGGCTGGTAATTTATATGTCAAGTGATTTATGGTAATGATAATAATTAATATTTCTGCAGTTTTTTCTCAACACCAAACCGTCATTTTAAATTATCGACACGTGTTTAGATACCAAGTGATCATCTTCAAGAATAAGATCGAACAGTTTGATCTTTCTCTTGGTCAAACAGTTTTATCTTCCTCTTTAAGATGATGAAGATGATCACTTGGTGATCGAAACACGTGTCAAGGTGTTAAAATAACGGTTTGGAGTTGGGGACAAACTCCAGTAATATTCATTACCACACCAAAGATTCCGAACAGTGCATTACAGATGAAAATTATTGGCAAAGTGCGGTTTTTTTTATGAGTAAAATTTACCACCATCTTGAGGGGTCTGATGTATTGGAGTGTCGTCATTCTATATCCTTCATTTTTCAGAAAACCCGACATGATGTTCATTGTTCGTATCCAATTTGGAAAACTTTTGAATCCGATATCCATATGATTGGAATACACAAACACTATTTATTTCGTTATCTTGATCGGTCCGACATATTGGATTCAGTATTCTGTTCAGCAAACACTTTCATTTGACAGTCATGTTATGAATGAGTGCTACACTAGAGTCCTTCAAAATATCTTCTTCGACCATTTCATCTTTTATTTTCTCACTATCGGACATACCACATCACAGAAAACAAAAATTATGAGAAATATGAGAGATGAAACTTTTTATGTTTTTTTACCAATTTTATTTGTGACTAATGTTACTGTAGTTCCCTACTATAAGTATATTTCCAAACTAATACAAAAAATGTCCTTATAGAGCAAAACTGAAGTAACGTTAGTAAGTTTTGTCCTATAAGGATATTTATTGTATTAGTTCGAAAATATCCTCATAAAAGGGAACTACAGTAACATTTGACACAAATAAAAGTAACTACAGTAACATATATGATGAAATTGGGCGATACTTGATGAAAATTCATAACTATGGCATTCAAAAAACACTTTATTTTGAGATTTTCACAAAGCGATTTTACAAAAATGCAACACGTGTTTCGCCATACAATGGCTTCTTCGAGCGTGTCTTTACCCCACGCCCGAAAAAACCCTTGTATGCAAAACACGTGTTGCATTTTTGTAAAATCGTTTAGTGAAAATCTCACAATAAAGTGTTTTTTGAATACGTTAACTGCAGTAACTAACGTTACTGCAGTTTCGTCCTGTAAGTTACTATCCTATAGTTACTGGTAAGAAATATAGAAAGTTTTATTTTTCATGATGATCTCCTACCACGTAGTAACGCTACATCCATCAATTTATTAAAACAATAATTCTCAGCTGGCAAATGGGAATATACAATGCATACGATTTTATAAACGAGCCACCCTGAATAACTTTTGGTACAATGATTTTCAGGAAAAATGAAAATGCACGCCAACAATATTTTCCGGGGAATACATTTTGACATATTCACATTTGATGTTACTTTCCCTATCGCACCCCCAGAGCATGTCACCAGTTTGTTTGGATCACCCTATATTGTTTCACATAAGCTTCAGACCATATGTTTTATACTTTGTTGAAATCTCCTCATAATGGAGCATCTGACAATGCGAAACAATTGAGAGCGATCCATTTAAAAAAATTGATGACATGCTCTGGGGGTGCGATAGGGGAAGTAACATCAAATGTGAATATGTCATAATGTATCACCCTGTGAACTATTGTTGACTGTTTTTTTTTTATTTTTTCTACAAATCATTGTTCCAAAAGTTATTCAGGGTGACTCGTTTCAAATGAAATGCACTGTATTTACTCATCAGCAAGCTCAAGTTCATAGGATTCGATGACATTTCTTTTTAATGGATGATCAGCTATCTCACAGGCCGATCACAGAGGGTCAAACTGGATGATTACTCATGGTCATTCCTAAAAGAAACAATCTCAGGTGTACCACAGGGAAGTATTTCAGGACCCTTGATGTTTTCAGTGTTTATTTTTGACTACCCCACTTTCTTATCACATTACGTCTATACGCAGATGATATACAGTTATATTTGTCGTCTCATAACACCGATACAGAAAGTTGCGTGGCCAATATAAACACAGATTTGCACAAAACATTCCTATATTTGGAGAATCATGGACTGAAAATCAATCTAAATAAAACTCTGGCCCTATGCATAGGGTCTCAAAGACAAATAGTAGAAACTCAGTGTAGCTTCAGGCTCACTCTCGATAACGCAGACATTGACTGGGTAGACAATGCTAAAAATCTTGGCGTAACCATAGATAGCTCTTTGTCTTTCCATGAACATGTGACAGACATTTTCAAAGTATCATTCTTTAAACTCAAATCGCTATATAAATTCGAGTATCAGTTATCAAGAAAAATGAAACTCAGGTTAGTTAAAACTCTTATTTACCCCCATATTGAATATTGTTGTTCGGTGTATTACAATTTTTTGCCTTAATATAATAAACAGAAGTTACAACGTATACAAAATGCTTGCATGCGATTCGTATGCTGTATACCATATGGTGAACATGTCACCCCATTTTTGTTAAAAATGAAGGAGCTGAATGTGAGGTACAATATTTGATAGTTTTTGTTTAAGTTGCTTCAAACTAAAACACCTAGTTATTTATATAGTTTATTAAGCAGTTATTCTGACATACATATGGTTAATTTGAGAATTAACTCATTCAACATTCCTAGGTACCGTACTTCCAAAATTCAAGGATGTTTTTCTTATATTGTCCCTACTTATCCGAATGAAATTTTACCCCTTTCAAATCATAATATTCATCAATTTAAGAAAGAAATTAAATCACAGATGCTTACTGCTCAGTGCTAATTTAAAAAATTTTAAATTCAATGTATGGTAGTGCAATAAAATTGTTAAATTGACCAAAATAATGTTAAGAATAATAAGCGTTATTAGCAACTATTTGATGTATTATTTTTTCTCTCCTCTATTATTGTTAGGTTTATAATTATTTTCTTATACTTACTGTATTATTTTTGGGAGGAATGGAAGATTGCTTTTGGCCAACCCTTTTTTTATGTATAAATGTATTTCTATGCATTGTAAACGATATTATTATTATTATTATTATTAATGTCACGAAAGTTCATCGAGTTAAATGAATCGATGGGTCTTAACGTTTGTTGGTAGTAGCAAATCCAAAAAAAAAATCTATAATACTTAAAGAACAGTTTGATCAGGCTAGTCTTGACTTGCCTACATTAAAGGTTCAATGGATTTATTTCCAGTGTAGGTGAGTCGAGACTGGACTGAACAAATTGTTTTAATTCTTCAAGTTTGTTTACTGAGATTTTTACAAATAATAAGAGTTTTTTCCAGAATATACCTTGAATGTTACTTACATCTTGCAATGTTACATCAGATGCTGGAAGGGGCTGACCCTCAGAACACGACACAAATTCGGCACTTGCCTCTTTAGAGAACAGAGCTACTGCACAGGAGTGGTATTTATTTCCATGGCATTCTTGTGGACCATGTTGGCATGTAAAGTCCAATTTTCCTGAGTTATTTGTAACCTAGAAGTGGAATCAAAAATTTGAATGAAACAATAATGAAAAAAATTTTGGAATTTTTATAATTTATTTTCGCTTAGTATTTTTTTGATTTCACAGTAGAAATGGGCGCCATATATTTTCGCCAAAAATCAGCCTTAGAAATACGAGCTATACAATTTTGNGGATGGATCATTGTGGTACTCCACAAGTTATATTTTGACGAGAGCTTTTTTATCACCTTCTATTATTCAAATAATTTCAAAACCATTGAAGAAGATTACCCCAGAATATTGAATTATTTTTTCAACAATATTATGGTCAACTGAATCAACAGTTCTTCACAATTCGAGGCGAAAACCGTATTGACTTTTATATAGAAGGTAACTGTTGAGATAATTCTAAAGCCTCGTGTGTATCAGTTCCTCTAAACTGAAAGCACAGAAGTTGGTAGATAATTGTTCAAATCGTTTCTTTTGTCACTTTTATATATGGTCGAAACCTTTGCAATATTCATATTATTTGGAACTTTTCCACTTTCGAAGGATTTGGAATTAAAGAAACAACTTGAAAGTGAAATTAAAATGAAAGACTGGTGAACATGAAAAAAACACAAAGTAATTCGGAACTCTGTATCAGCATAAACTGAAAATATTATATACTCATTTCAACCACAAGAATATCTGCAGGAGATCTGCTTTGAAACATAAATTGAGTATACACGAAACAAATACGTTGCTTTTGGGATAGAAAGTTTTTGGCTTTCTTCTACTCCATCTTGATATGAAAAAAAGGGATGAGGGAATCTTCCAAAGAAAGGAAGGAAGTAATCAATTTGAAAATAAGTAACTTCATACATGGATGTGTAGATCATGCAAAGAAGTAAGTTTCAGACACAAACTGAAAGAAAGTCCTCCTGAAACAGCTACTTTCATATAAACATTGAATTACACGAAAGAAAAAATTCTTTCGAAACAAATACTTCTATATTTTTTTATATCAAGATGGAGTAGTAGAAAGCCAAAAACTTTCTTTCCTAAAAATCAATCACTCCTAAAAATATAACCCCTTCAATTCAAATACGTTGTCTTTTCAAAAATGAGGCGTCTTTCTATTTTTCTCAAAAAATATTCATTTCTTCATCAATTTATATTTTGTTGTTTTCGAAGTGGTCCTCCTCAGATATAATACACTTGTGCCAGCGTTTTTTTCCAATCCTCGAAGAGTTCTGATATGCACTTTTTGATATGTCCTTGAGCTCTTACGTCGATTTAGTTTCTATCTCCTCAGTCAACGAAAAACGCCGTCCTCTCATGGGCTTCTTCAATTTTAGGAACATAAAAATGTCCCAGGACCAAATCTGGTGGATACGGTGGCTGGGGCATGACGTTGTTTCTGGCCAGGAAATAATGAACAAGCAATGACGAGTGAGTAGGTGCATAACTGTGATACAACAGTCATGAATTGTTCCTCCACAATACCGTATGTTTTCTTCGTATTTCTTCTCATAAGCGGTGAATAACTTCAAAACAATACTTCTCATTGACCGTGCGGCCATGTGGCAAGAACTTCTGATGCACTAAGCCACGGTTATCGAAGGGAACATTGCAAAACCTTGACATTTGATCGAACTTCTGAGTTGTATGCCTCTCACCAACAAAATGAATATGGTAAGCAGCTGAAACTGTGACCATATGTTAGGACGAGTGTACCGATATGCAAAAATAAAAGAAGTCAGAAATCTAATGTACGTAGCCTGCGAAATATGAACATTCACCTTATTTTTTGAATAGTCCACGTACATTGCTAACCTGAATCCTCATCCCTCTTAACTTTCGAATGAAATAAGATAAAAAAATTCCCCTCTAATATAAAGCCACCAACATGTTTTTATAGAAATGAAGAGGGGGTACCTCGTTAGTTTGACAACTCATTTCTCCACCCACCACTGCTTCATTTTTGAAAATTGATCTGGTAATTTCTTGGTAAATAGCAGTTGATTATGAGTTTCAAGAAGCTGGGAACAAACATTATTATCTAAATTTCAAAAATATATTGAAAATTGATTCCAATTCATTCCAGTACATTTCTCAAATGATTATCATACATTTCCTGGCAATAATGAAGTACATTCACTGATGTAATTTTTGAATTTCGAATTAATCCGGGGATTATTTCGTTCAAACACTTTCTTTCTACCCACTAGTTTTGAAATCGTTTTATATCGTACACTTCGAAAGTCATGTATCCTCTCAAAAACATCTGGAGCTGTCAAATCAGTTGTTCTAGCGGCTGTTTCTAAGAAATCATGTTTAACTATCGAACGGTTTGAATAATTCTTATCTAGGCTCTTTCCAAAGTATCTGTTCGTGATAAAAAAATGCTCATCATGCTGGAACATAACATCAGTTGAGGAATTATTCAAATTTGTCAGTTATTATACTGAAAAAATGCGCCAATGAATTCGCACCGGTATTTTGCAAACTTTTCGACCTTTCTTACAAAGAAGGGGTTTTTCATTCTTGTTGAGAGATTGCTTGCGTTCAGCCTATTTTCAAAAATGTCAAGAAACATTTCTCAAATAACTATAGACCAGTCAGTTTGCTATCAGTCATATAAAAAACTATGTTGAAAGCCATAAACCACCATATTCTTAAATATATTGGAAGTTTCAACATCTTGAGCGATCATCAATATGTCTTTCGGAAACAAAGATCAACAGGCGACCTTCTATCATATGTCGCCCATATTTAGAATAACTCAATCGAGAAACATGAAGAGTCAAGACTGTGGTCAAGAGCTGATGCGTTTAATATTTCTAAGGCCTTTGACCGGTGTGGCTTGAACAAACTTCGATGCTATAGTATATCAGATCATTTTTGTGTATAGCTCACCAGGTATACACAAAACAAGAATCCTATATATTGCTTTGCTGACGACAGCATACTTTTCTCGTCATTCCATTTGGATTCCAAGACATCGGCTGCGAATACACATCTTCACCGACAGCAGGAGGTCACATATCTTGATGATGATCTAGACGTGATTTCAAATTGGGGTGAAAGTAATCAGGTTTAATTCAATTCTACGAGAACCCAAGCACCGGTTTTTTTCCTAAAAGATAAATGTCTCCGAACCGGTTATAATGATGTCGGGATAGACAATTGCGCTTTCTGCTTCGAAAAGTTTGTTGGTGATTAATTGCAAAGGCTGCTTCTCAAAAGTTCTGAACACTGTTCAGAACCAGAAAACTGTACACACCTCAGCAACTTTTGATGCTTCCAAAAGCTCAGATCAGATCTTCTTTTGAGAATTGTTCTCATGTATGGAGCTCCGCCCCTAAGCATACCCTGAAGCTGCTGGATTCCGCCAGATTGGAGGCACGAACATCACTTGCAACCTTGATAGTCTGGAACATCGAAGAAACATTGGGGATTTGTCTCTCTTTTAGAGATACATTCACGGTAGATGTTCAAGTGACTTGGCACATTTGATTCCAACAAGAGCGGTACACACCAGAAATACGCGACAGACTGTGTATGCTCATCGTCTTGAGGTTCAACTCAATTCACCTCGAACTCAATGTTTAGAAACTCTTTCACTTGGAGAATTGCGTTTATGTGGAATAAACTTCCTGAGAACGTTTTTCTAAACGAATTTTATTTCCAGCGATTCAAATTCTATATGAATCACTACTTTCGCACAAGCACCGCTCTTAGAGCCCCTCAAGAATTTTCCAGTAATGCTTGAGTTTTGTCCTTGGAAAAACCTGTTGATAAGCAGACGAAATCCTTTTTGCCCCCCAGATCATCTACTATGACGCCTCTAGATGTTTTTGAAAAAATACGTGATATTTGTAGTAGGTACACGATGTGCAACCACCATTCATTTTACACTTTGTGAATGCAAATAAATGTGGCTTGCAACGGAATTATCATAGGAACATTTCATCGTAACGTAAGAAATGAATTGGTGAACAGACTTTATTATCACCAGATAGTGGATGGTGAACATTTTGGACATTTATTTCAATGAACTGTAGTGGGTTTTGATTTTTTTTGTGACATTTTATCTCTGATGGTGGGTAACAAAATGTCACTTTTAATGAAATTACTTTTTTCCACAGGGCTATTCAAATTCGTTTCTGTACATGGGCATCTCGTAAGCGATAAGAGATACTGTGTCGGTTAAATTGTGGCAAAGTTGCGTATTTTAGAGACTTATTCAATGATGTATAAAAATCGAATATAGCTCTATTGGTTCTGGAGATATACAGGAAAAACCAAAATATCTCAAATTATTTTTTTGTCAATATCTTCTTTATTCGCAGACATATTGAAAATTTGTCCACATTTCGCTATTGGCACTTGATGTGGGCTATCAGAATATGTCCATGAATGTTTTATACCGAACCGGTTATAATGATGTCGGGATAGACAATTGCGCTTTCTGCTTCGAAAAGTTTGTTGGTGATTAATTGAAAAGGCTGCTTCTCAAAAGTTCGAAACACTGTTCAGAACCAGAAAACTGTACACACCTCAGCAACTTTTGATGCTTTCAAAAGCTCAGATCAGATCTTCTTTTGAGAATTGTTCTCATGTATGGAGCTCCGCCCCTAAGCATACCCTGAAGCTGCTGGATGCCGCCAGATTGGAGGCACGAACATCACTTGCAACCTTGATAGTCTGGAACATCGAAAAAACATTGGGGATTTGTCTCTCTTTTAGAGATACATTCACGGTAGGTGTTCAAGTGACTTGGCACATTTGATTCCAACAAGAGCGGTACATACCAGAAATACGCGACAGATTGTGTATGCTCATCGTCTTGAGGTTCAACTCAATACACCTCGAACTCAATGTTTAGAAACTCTTTCACTTGGAGAATTGCGTTTATGTGGAATAAACTTCCTGAGAACGTTTTTCTAAACGAATTTCATTTCCAGCGATTCAAATTCTATATGAATCGCTACTTTCGCACAAGCACCGCTCTTAGAGCCCCTCGAGGATTTTCCAGTAATGCTTGAGTTTTGTCCTTGGAAAAACCTGTTGATAAGCAGACGAAATCCTTTTGGCCCCCAGATCATCTACTATGACGCCTCTAGATGTTTTTGAAAAAATACGTGATATTTGTGGTAGGTACACGATGTGCAACCACAATTCATTTTACACCTTGTGAATGAAAATAAATGTGGCTTGCAACGGAATTATCATAGGAACATTTCATCGTAACGTAAGAAATGAATTGGTAAACAGACTTTATTATCACCAGATAGTGGATGGTGAACATTTTGGACATTTATTTCAATGAACTGTAGTGAGTTTTGATTTTTTTTTGTGACATTTTATCTCTGATGGTAGGTAACAAAATGTCACTTTTAATGAAATTACTTTTTCCCACAGGGCTATTCAAATTCGTTTCTGTACATGGGCATCTCGTAAACGATAAGAGATACAGTGTCGGTTAAATTGTGGCAAAGTTGCGTATTTTAGAGACTTATTCAATGATGTATAAAAATCGAATATAGCTCTGTTGGTTCTGGAGATATACAGGAAAAACCAAAATATCTCAAATTATTTTTTTGTCTATATCTTCTTTATTCGCAGACATATTGAAAATTTGTCCACATTTCGCTATTGGCACTTGATGTGGGCTATCAGAATATGTCCATGAATGTTTTATGTAGGGTGTCATCTAACTTGGGCCACCACCATCTTTGAATTTTTAAATACGGACCTGTATTTTTGTTGTAGTTTTTGTGTCGTCGACGTTGACTTCATACTGCGAAATTAAATTTTATTTTATATTTCCGGATGTTTCGGTAATATTTGGTTATAATTCCGTGTTAGGAATCACACGTTAAAAGATAAGACCTCGTTAATCCTTAGCTCACAAGTTTAGACTTCTGAGGATTGGCGTTAGTAGGGGTGCGACAGCTGGTTAATGGAAAACAGATTTTGAACAGAATTGGGTGAATTATTCCCTTTCAAATTACGGCCCTGGAAATTGGTTGACTGAGTTGAATAAAAACACAATACTAACTTTCACGTTTTCCTATGTACCATGGAGTTTTCAGAGAGTTTTTTTTCATCATATTTAGGTACCTATTCATATTTTTTCATATTTCCATTGCTCTGAGCGTTTATTACATTGAACTTCGGATAAGAAAACATTTTATGATTATCTGAAACATATCTACAACAAAAATATATTACATGTGTTTTGATGAGCAGAAAAAGAAATGATAGCATTAATAACATCCGAAAAGAACACTATAATTTTAATGAAAATTAATGGCGCAATAAATGTTCGAATTGGAGTTCTTCCATTTCAAGACAAATAATGGACCAATAAGATGGTCTGCAAGATCACCAGATCTTACTATTTTCGACTATTTTCTATGTGGTACATTGAAAAATAGGATTTACGCTGGCAGAGAGATAGCAAATGTGGAAGACTCGAGATTGAGGATTCTGAATAATAAGTGTATTAAGGGCAATAAATAATATTAAAAGCTAAGTTCAAAAATGTCTCGAAATAGAAGGACTCCAATTTGAACATTTATTGTGCCAATAATTTGTTTTGTGTATGAATAACTTAATTTCAATTTTCATTTCAATTATAGTGTGTGTTTAGCTGAATTCATTCCCAAAGTGTTGGATAAAAAATTGAATTACCTATCAAACGATATAACACAAGAGCCCCCTTCCAATAAAAAAATGGCTGGCTCTCGAAGACGAATGAAGCTACACTATCGTGTAGAAATGTAGTAAAAACAATGCTATTATAGGTAAATTTTGTACGACCGTGATATGTTGTCCCATTCAGCAGTTGGAATGGAGGGTCATCTGAGTTCGAAATATATAAACTGATATCAAGATATAGAGGCCTAACAAAAGACACGTTTCATCTGATATTATAAAAATCTCTTTCAGCAAAGATACACAAAAAATTATTTGAAAGAAGCAGCAAGCGAAAGGAAGAAAACAGCTCAGTGGTATAAACTTTGAATCTATTTCCACCATTTCAAAAAACGTGTGTAACATTCAAGATTGTCATAAGATTTTCTGAATTTCGAACTTAGTTTTTGTTTTTTGCCAAATTAATATCGTGAAACAATGAGAAAATATTAGTGTTCGTAAAAAAGGGCTTTTCTCTACTTTGTGCTGATTTCGCTACAGCGTAATTTTACTATTTATGATTCATAAGCTGTGTTTTGTTAGTACAATTGGAAAAGTTGAAATGTTTGTTGAAATTGTTGACACTACTATCAATAATGTCTTGTCGTTCCTTTGATTTGATAAACCCTCCTCATTATCGATTTTTTAACCTATAGTTATGTGGGATAAGATTTGTTGAATTTTTATTTTATTACTTACCGATGCAAATCCGAACGGTATTAAGTCAATGTTCATTGGCTTTCCAATATCCTTATAAACTGGATACAGCTGATTTTTTATAAAATCAACGCTATCCGGGCAGAGACATTCATAATAAACCGATATTTTCACACTGCTGAGTGCCTAAAAAAATCATTCATATTAAGAAATAAAGTGCATAATTCATTTCTGTACAATATTTTGCGAAAAGAAAAATTTTGTCATTTGATTATCGGGACTGATTTGAAATACAAGTTTTGATCGTATGTCTTCCTTTTATNTGTATAAATCTATTAGATTTTCACAATTGGATCTGCTTCTGATCCGACAGTAAAACAAAAATCATAAAATAAAAATACATGAAATAGTCCTGAATGAAAATTACCATAGATTTTGTTCGTAAATATAAATAATAGCTAGACATGTAGATTGTGGTGACGTTGACAATTTTGGATGATGTTTTTGCCAACAAAATTTTTACCTAACTTGACCATTGCCGAATGCCTGGTAAATGTTTTCGGGCTGTTTCGATAGCGCTTGGTTCAATTTGAATTTGTAGAGAAATATTGGCGAAAAATCGCTCAACGACATCAGTTATAAGCTAGATTTGCACAAAAAAAACATGTCAATGTAAACAGTACAACATTCTCTGTCGATCAGTATATATTACGACACTGTATATTTGATATTTATTGAGATATGGAGCTACAAAAACACATGACATTAAAAAGGACAAAACTGTTGAAACAACCTAACACACAATCGAGGTTATGTTTTCCGTGTATGAAGGGATAGTGTTCTCACTTACTCTTATAAGTTATTCTTGAAGTTATTAGACATTGTTGTATAAATCTATTATCAGGTGTCAGGTATAGAAGAACCTTGGATAATTTCATTCTATGGAGTAATGAGATTATTTGAGTTTTCCCAGATGAAAATAACACACACGAAAAACGGAGAAACATTCGAAGAAAAGCATTTTTCGTATAGTGTCATACATTATTTTTCAGTCGATTGTGAATTTTGAATTGAATCATTTTCAATATAATGATGGCTTAAAAACCGGAATCCGGTTTCATTTTGAATATCATGAAAGTCAACAAAACAGATGAATTCAATTACAAATTTCATGGAGTATCACTTTCGATTAAAATATTTCATATGTATTCTTCTTGGATCTGGAAAGACTGCAATAGCACCTATTTATTTAGGATTATATACTCCACAAGAGGTAAGGTATGAAATGGATCACTTACATCGATATATCAAATTTTGTTTCTCAATACATAAAAAACAATAAATAATTCAAAAACATGAAGTTCAGAAAGATTTTTATTGAATAAATGAAAAGAACGTGGAGCACAATTGAATTGGGAAAATGCTTTTCGACGTTTCTGGTAACGTCATGTTTTTGTTTGATACTGTTAGCTATTTTCTTACCTACAGTTGAAAAAAAGCGTTAAACTGATCTGCAACATGTTCAGTATCTGTAAACAAATTACCATCAACTGTCATGATTTCCCTTATCTGCCCATCATTTTTTGAATCTTTGTCGTTTGTGATTTCTCCAGAAAATCGCTAAATTAGTTTCATGGATACAAATTTAATTTTGATAGCAATACATTTTGGCGTCTTTAAGAAGGTTATTCGGTTTTGTTGAGTTTTGTGTGTGAGTATAGATCTCAGTGTATTTTCGTTTTGAAAGAAGTTCTAACATCATACCTATTTCCAATTCGTCTTATTTTTTTCAGATAGTCTCAGCAATTTTTGATTGGCAAAATTGTTTTAAATACGACAAGTTACTGATAAATAGAACATATTTCTTTGTGAAAAATACTTTGGCTTTGAGCAGTAACTCATCGGGGTAAACTGAAAAGTTTGCTCTTTCTACACTTGTATGTATGAAGTTCTTCATTATAATTATAATTTTTTCAGATTGTAGAAAGTAAAAATACCCAAAAAGGTCGATAAAAATGTATATCAAGTTGCAAGTGTCAATATTTTTTCTATTTTAGCAAATTTTTTTATTCACAATAGCAAGGTTTGACTCGTATTCAGATCATTCTCATGATGTCCGCTTAATAAAAAAAAACATAACATGAACCCCTCTGCTATTCTACACTATAGATTCAAGGTAAAAATTCAAACTCACCTGGGGTTGATAACAGCAAGATAGAATGAAAACGAAATAACTCAAACTTTTCCACATCATTTTCGATTGGGAAATGAACATTAAGATTATTCGATGAAACAGCTTTTGCCAACACAAATGATCAGTTAATGGTGGGTGGCAGATATTATGTATCACTCGAAAACAGAAAATCCAATAACAAAGCGATACATTTGCATACGTAATGTGAAAAACATGTATGAGTTAACGGACAGATAACGGACAGATATGACTCGATGACTAGGTACTTTGATGTACACTTGGATTCACTGACTCATTGCATGAAAAAACAATATTTGAGATACATATTGACAAAATCTTGTCAGCTAAGAACATTATTCATAATGAAGTTATTTTGAATTACAAATGAATTTGAATAACTTTCTGTACCTATGAAGAATGCGGGTTAGCTGTTCATTTTTCACTGCCTGAACCCACTGTGCATGCTGTTTTTGGTGAGTGCATTGGCTTGGGATGTGGGGGTTGAGCAAACCGGCCATCGGATGCCTGCTTCCACGTAGCCCCGCTGGATTCGGGAATGACAGAATCACTTGTGGTTCTGTTATCCCCTACATCCCAACGATGGCTTGATCCTAAGGTATGTGCATCCTTGCCGAGAGGATTAATGACACTGAGCCCATCAGCTGTCTCTACGGAACCTTCGAGATACCGATCCCATCGTAGCATCGCCTTGTCACGGTAATACGGGGCTCTGCCGTGATTGACCTTCTTTCCCTAGCTACTCGTGGGACTTTTATGGGACTTAAAAATTCTTTCTGACGAGTCTATAGAGGAGATGGATGTCGGGCTTACGACTTCCACTGACCTCCCTGTAAATTTAGATCAGGAGCGAGTCTACAGAAAAGATGAATGTCGAGTTTACGACCCCAACTGACCTCCCTGTAAATTTAGTTCAGGAGCGAGTCTACAGAGGAGATGGATATCGAGTATATGACTCCAACTGACCTCCCTGTGAATTTAGTTCAGGAGCGAGAGCTTATCAACACCCCAGTTCCTGATCCAATAACGGAACATAAAAGGTTTGGTGGTGCAGCCAGGAAACTACTGAGTCGTCTCCTCAAGAGCGCGGTACCTTATGAAACTGCCTGGCACCAAATTCTTGAGCGACGTACGCAGAATTTGTCTCAAGTGGAGGAACAAACCCCCCACGAGCAGGTCAGCAAACGTTTGCGCTCAAGTAATGAATCACCAAAAGCAGAGGCGATAAAGCCCTGCACGGTTGAAACTAAGGCATCGTCAGGTGTGGCTGACGTGCAAAAACCCACATATGGGAAGGTTGTCGCGGGTATCAAGGTGGGAATCTTGCACCTTGACTATTCGACTATCTCTTTAACGATGAAAGAACAGAACATATCCCCGCTGGGGACCGAATCAGGTTTTTATAGTTCGGCAGAGCCGTACTCTCAAGGTCTGACCTGAAAGACCACTCACCATACAAACTAATCGGCTTCGTTAAGAACCTGGGTTCATTTGGTCGAGTGTGAATAGGTGTGAGCCACAATAAACCCTTGTGGGTTGCGTTGGTCGTATAGACCCACTCACTTTGGACTTAACCTAACCTAAGCTATGAAGAAAAAATATATAACACCAGCCAACACCACCTAACACTCATTTGTGTCCATATAGATCGTCATCTTCTTCACCGAAATTAACACAGAAATATTTTACATCATGGTTCATAGCTACACTTGACTAGAATAAATGATAAAATTTGATATCGTTCGGTGGAATCTTTGATAAAGCATATAGTGTATTTCTATATTTTCGAAAAAAAAATAATCTGTTTTTTTTAAGAAATCAACCGCAGCCACATGTTTGCAAAACTTTTTCGTTGTAATAGCCCAATAATATTATGAATCTTCATAAAGCAATTAGTGTTATTGTAGCACTCTAATACGTATCTAAATGGCTTTTCACACATTTGGTGTGCTATGAATAACCTGTAGTCATTTTCCGACCTCTGGAAAAGTAACTTCACTGCATAAAACAGTGTTATCAACATTCCTATTTGAAAAATAGGTCTGTTCCAAGAGTTAAGTAGATGTTGAAATTTTGCAGGTTACGTATATTCGATTTGCAATTTTTTCATTTTTTTTTTGGTACACTCATTTTACACGTATATTTATATTTTCAGCTGTTTATTCCGTTCAGTTTGTTGGTGAGAGGCATAAAAATTGCTCAAAAAATTTACATCAAATTCTGTGTAAAATATGGAATTTAGTGCTATAAAACATTAGAAATGTTGGAAGTGGCATATGGTGATTGTACTTTTTGAGTCGGAAAAATGTTTACAAGTGGTACAAGCTTTTCACAGAAAGTCGAGAAGATGTGATTAACGTTGCTCGCCCTGGACGCCTCAGCACATCAACAACCAATAAAAATGTTGGGAAAGTAATGAAAATTGTTATGAAGAATTGTCAAATCACTATTAGAGATTTTCTGATTGATTCGGCCGTTACTTGTTGAATATCCATAGTAATTTCATAAACTACACCTCACGATTTGATCTCCCCAAACGTTTGTGGAGATCAAATCGTGTGATGTAGTTTATGAAATTACTTTTAGAGATGTTGCTGAGGATGTCAGCATATCAGTTGGATCATGCCATGCAGTCGTTCCATAAATTTCTAACATGAAACGAATAGCTAAAAAAATATCTATATACCGGGTCTGATAAATTTACTAGGTGATACCAATGAAAACCTCTCACAAAAAAAATAATGATTAGACCTTGTATTATACCACGCCGCCCTTGCCATACAGAGAAACTGTCGACGTTCGGTAACTATTCAGTTTTTATGCTATTCGAATCAACTTCGTATATACTATACGTTCCAAAAATTATGAATTTTGATTAGAAAAACCGTCGCATGAGCATCGCTCAGAAATTATTGAATAACGTTAACAGAGAACCAGATTTGCTTGAAAGGTTCTCAACTAGTGACGGATCATGGGTGTATGGTTATGACATCGAAACCAAAGTTCAATCGTCTCAATAGAAGAGCCCAGGAGAGTCAAGACCAAAAAAAGCACGCCAAGTTCGATCGAGGTTTTGCTCACTGTTTTCTTCAATTACCATGACGTAGTTCATGAGGAGTTCTTGCCATACGGTCGTACGGGCAATAAAGAGTGAGTCAATAGTTCATTATGACGGCAATAATAATAACTTTGAAGCAATATATAAATGATTTTGACTGCTTCGAAAAAAAATTGTGATAATTATTGTTCATTATCAAAAAGTAGAATCATTTTTTTTATTAAAATGACCTATTTGCATGTCTACACTCCATGAGTCCCTCTATCTTAAGTGACTTCCACTCCAGACAAGCGCGTCTTCACGCACCCGTTGAGAGGAGGCGGTGGGAAACACCCCTCGCGATGTTAGCAGGTTGATGCTCACCCATAAACATAGACTTCATTAAAAACCATTACATGGTTTTGATATTCAGGACGTTTAAATGGTATAGCTGTCGATGTATTGTTTGGAGAGATACTCCTAGAAAAAGTTCATAAAAAACCAGGACAGAATGTCTGCAGGAAGTTTTGTATGTCAGTTTTTTTCATGAAATTAAAAACGGTCATTTGCATGTTGCTCATGGAAAATATCGAGAGCTTCATAAATCAACCCACCGTGACGTCGTGGTTGATTATGATAAACTCTAACTGCCGTGATATTACTAGTCGGCGGACTTTTCGGAAGGAACCACTTGAAGTGTTTGTAAGCAAGCCTTCGGATCAAATCCGTAATCTGCTCGACCTTCGCTATGTCACGTAAACGCTTCAATGAAATATATCGATCGTTATCAATCACGATACGAAGCACGATACTGTATTTTGCATCGTCTCGAGTCTAGGACAACGGTGTCCTCTTAAGGCTGCAGATAACAGGACAAGCGTACAATATAGCTGGCCTGAAAATTTGTTTATATATCAGGAGCTTGTTGTCAACATCAGTTTGGAATTTCGTGCAATGAGAGGGTAGTTGTGTTCAATCGCCGCTCCCGCTCTCTGAATTGCCAGAATCAAGTTATTACGCCGACTAAGATGGAAAATCAAATTAGTGGGGCGTAATAGAAATAACTCAAAAACAAAACTCTAAAATCAAAATTAGTCAGCCGGTAGAGGGTTGAAAGGTTAATTGATAACTAATATTTACTATGTTCTAGGTGCTAACTACAAAACACCACTACTTGCTCTTACGAGTTCACGGAATATTATTGGTGATATGAAATGTTCCTTATATGTTAAAAAGAAGCAAAAATTGTACAAGGCAAAATTAATAAATGAAGTAGATTCTACTTGTATATTCCTTTGGAGGTTGTCCTTTCTTTTGCAATCCCCAACAATAGCTTTCTATACAAGGTCCGTCCAGTTTATCAGGATTGGGGGAAGTCTGTACTTTAACTAGCAGAGGAAATCAAGCAAGCTCTATCTACTAAGCAGGGATGAAGCTGTCTCCAAGCGGTTTGGTGTAAAGCAAAGTTCTAAACATGCATGCTAGCTAAATTGGTGTATAGCTATAGGACATAATGATGTGGGAGCTGGTAATATCCTTCGTACAGAGAAAACGTAAAACTAGGTACTAAACAAAAAGAGACCTGAAAAGACTGAAAAGTTACTAACCTGTGGATTCATTAATACATTTGAAATGCACTTATTAGAGGATAATCCCCAGAATGTGTCCCAGCAGAATACCTACCTTCGATGGAGGGTGGTTTCGGAGAGAGTTTCGTCAGGAAACGTTTAAGGTTAGTTAAAAACCAAAATCCACATTGGATGTGGATTTTGGTTTTTATAACTTGAGAAGATCAGAACCACATGTTCCACTTTGATAAGCCTACAATAAAAAAGGAAAAAGGAAACAGATAGATTCTGGAGGTCAAACTAGGAATATTAGTGACATTTCATCAAAGTTGAGAATACTGAAGATGAATGACATCCTTTCTGTCAAATTTTGAATATTTAGCAGGGTTGGATCTTTTAGATAACCTCTATCCAAACAATAACAAACTAACCTATATGAAAATGGAAAGTTAAGGAATGGTGATAAAACAGATAATGTTCTTATTTTTTTCGGAAATTCACAATGAACTAAACTGGTATCTTGAATGAGAAAGCATTCAAAGTAGGTAAAGTACTTCTTGTGCTGATTGA